TTGTGTTTCTGCTCTGCACCTTCAGATGAAGCATCATGTATACATCTAGGAGATGGGCTCCAGAGGCACATTTCACACAGAAAACCCTCTCACAGTACTTCACAAAGTAAAAAACGCTTAACTGGATGAAAACCTGGACAAGAAGACCACATTTAGCCTACTTGGGAATAGAAACATGTGCTTGAAATATTTGGAACAACATTTGGGGCAAGCTGTGAATGTCATAAAACCCCCAGATGTTTGTTTACCTGCTTTTATGTTTGTTTATGACAGTATGGGTCACATCAAGGAGGCATCAAACCTCTTCTGTAAATCAAACCCAGAATATACTCCAATCTTCAAAACTGTTTCTGCCTACCCCTCTCTGTTCAAGGTGACTGATCAACCAATAATGAAAATAACAAAATGACACTGTGGAAATAAAATATATATTGATGATGGCTTTACCTCTGTAATTTAACAGCATTTTAGATTATTAAACATTAAGGCATTTTAACATCCTAATTTACTGTTCAGCTCTGTTACAGTGTGTTTGTCTCAGGCATTTTTATTATCCTTCCAATTATTACAAAATTGTTGTTATTGCATAATTATATCATATTTGTATTTAGTTACACATTTACTTTCTCGTTTCTTCTCTGCATAACACCATGTGGAAAATTTTAAATACCAACAGCAGTCACCAATGAAAACAAAAGAACACCATATGAACCTTAACAGAGCACCCCACAGCAGACGAACAAATTTAACCCTTCTTCTTTCAGCCAGGAATTTTGGTGTCCATTGAAAAGCTGGGATGAAAGGCCACCAATTCTGCAAATGGGCCTCAGCAGCTGCGGGTTACATCTCTAGCAGTGACCTAATAGTATTCAGGTGGGACACTAAGACTGGAGGTAAGGTTAGCCTAACGCTGGAATATTAAAGGTGCAAAACAAACTGTTGCTAGGGAAGGCATAAAAGGAGAGAAGCAACTAATAACCTCTTTTCTCAGCATTTTTTTATCTATAGTAGTAACTTCCTTAATTTCATGACATTCTTTCTGTTTTCTTTCTGGTCAGTTGCCTTCCTCTTCACCAATCTGTGATTTGAGGCCTATTTTTCTCAAATTCCGTAGGAGGGACACTCGTGCTTTCAGAGGCTCTGGATGTGCCAGTTTCCCAGCACTGAGCCTGTGCTCTGTGATGAGTTCATCCCAGGCTCAGCACAGCATGGGGATGGACACTGACAGACCTGTGCTCTTGCTTTCACTATTCCCAGCTGAGAGTTTGCATCTCTGGAATTCAGACCCATGTTGCCTTTGTGTTACTGATGTACTTAAGAAATAGCCATTTCCTGCTATTTTTTTTTTTCATTATTATTCAGTTTTGTTTCTTTCTCTCTAGACTGGTGGGGTTCTCAGAACAAGTCAGTGGATATTGGATTGCAATAATATTAGCTTATCTTACTATATGGTTTTGATTTTATTATTTTTTAAATTTGTATATATGTGCTCTCTAATTAACATGGTCAGAAAACTTTATTAAGTACCTCCACCACTTCCTTGATTAATGGAGAAAATCAAAGGAAGGGATCATCAACGTTCTATTTTCAAATGTTTTTAAATAACTCTTTGAGTTGAGGCAGCAGGTGCCTTGTTCTACTTCATCCCTGCCCTGCATGCCATTGCTGTGTATGAAAAGGCTGTGTAGTGATTCAGAAGTATGTAAAGGAGGACCTGACAGGCTCCTATCTCCGCTTGGCAATTGCCACAGGCTCCCAGAACAGGGCAGACCCTCTGGCTGCAATAGCGTGTAAAGACATTGCCGCCTGTGCCGGGGAATGGGCGCTCCTGTCTGTAGCAGGTCAGCGCTCCCACACTGCGTGCTGCGCTGGATGGCAGGCACATTAAATTCCTAGCACCTAAGAAGGACTATTGGCTCTAAATATCAGTGTAAGGCTGTTCACTAGCACTGTCGTAGCCAACTTTGTTTTGAAAAGGTTTTTTTTTGTTTGTTCATTTTGGCTGGGACAAGGGATAACAATGCAGAAAAACAGATGATCACGGTCGGCAATTTTCTTTCCTTAGGAATGCAGGCTACAGAATGAAAAGATGCAGCTCCTGACTAGGCCTGCTCAAGGAGCTATGAAGGAAGGCGTGAGGGGGTTTGAGGGGGATGCGAGTGTCGGGGAGACGTGTGCAGGGAAGGAGCTGTGCCGCGGCCGATGCCCACCCACGGCCGGGCCGCAGCGGAACCGGCGTGCCGGGGCGCGGCGCCGCCGTGGCGGAGGAGCCGCTGCGGTGCGGAGCCGCGTCCCGCCGGAAGCGCCGGGGCCGGGCCGGAGGCGGGAGGCGGTGCCGGGCCCGTGGGGCGGGAGCGGGGATGGAGAAGCTGCGGCGGCTGTGGAGGGGCCGCACGATGACCTTCGGGGTGCCGCTGCTGGTGAGCGGCGGGGCGAGGCCGTGGCGGTGCCGGGGGCCAGGCGGGCGGAGCTCGGCGGGCCGGCGCTCCGCTGATCCCTCCTCGGCGGGGGCGGCGGGAGCGTGCGCTGCCCGGAGCTCAGGGGTGCGGTTCTAAAACATACTCCTAAAGATATGCCTCACTGGAAGCCGAGGAAAATGGATTTTGCTGGTGGTTTGATTTTTTTTTTTTTTCCTCCTGTGAAACACCACTTGTGTTTCTTGTCTTTCTTTAGCTTTTCACTGGCACTGTTGGGCTGATAATTTGTATATCTAAATAACTGGAAAGATTTAGAGTGAAGTGAGTTGAAGTTATAGCTAGCAGCTGTGCTCAAAGTGTTGAGGCATAACTTTTTATAGTTGAGATTACGAGAGCTCAATAATGTCGAAGGATTAAAACAAAATTATAAGACTCTCTTATACACATTACCTCTGTAGATAGTGCAACATTAGGTTGCACTTCTCTGTCCTAAGTAACTGTGTTCAATAGGGGGAAAATGAAAAAACTCAGATGCACTTACAGATAAAAACTCGGGAAGGAAGACAAAAGCAGCACCAAGGCCAGTGTGGTTTCTGTTTGTGCAATTCATGACTCCTTATCCATCTATGCAGTTGGTTTGCAAAAAATAAACAAATTTCAAGGTGGATAAAAGAATAAAGGGAAGGATAATTCCAACACTTTTATAAAGCTACTAGGGAAATCAGTGTCGTCATCTTCAAATATTCAGCAGCATGTCTTGGAAAAATGGAGTGGACCAAAGAAGGACATTGACACTTGTTAGAGTTAAAAAAACTTTAAGGTCATTATTTTAAAGGGATATTACCAATGTTCCAGAGTAAGGACATTCAATGATGTTATTAATGAAATATCTTTTCTTGAAATAGTGATGAAGGCATTTGTAAGAAATGGAAACAGTTAAACCAAACAGACCAACAAAACAGTGTGATAATACCACAACTACATGAAATTGTTTGCATCAGCAGCTCTATTCCCTGCTGTTGCACACAAACTCTGCCTATAACACCTTTCTTGAAGTGATCATGCACAGTGTTACAGCTTGTCAGGTATCCTGCTTGCATGCATGTGTACCTGAGAGGCTGTCCAGAATGGTGCTGCTTTCATGATTAGACCAAATTTATTTTGGTTTTGGATTTTTCATGTATGAGTGCTCTGACAGTATTTTTCAGTTTAATTACACCTTGCTTAGATATTAAAGGTAGGATATAGTTTTAGCTTACAGTACTTTTGTTTATGTAATTATTTGAGGCTTGTTACTTTTCTTCCAGAATCAGAGAAGATCAGGCAGTTTAGTATTCTCTGGCACAATTTTAACTCTGTGGAAGGCCTGGGGAAAATACTGTGTGATTAAATAATAGATACTTAGAGGTGGTGACCTAGTGGAGAAAAAAAAAATCACCACTGCTTTTTAATAATAAGTATATCAGATTAACTGGTGTAGTAGGTGAGGAGATTCAACTGATACATAAGATTCTGATTTTGATAAAAGGTATTTTTGGAGGTAAGGTAGGTCCTGTAGAAATAATGTGGGCTGTATTATTGTGAAAAAACAGAAATGTAATTACAAGATGGAAGAACTTGTCAAAAGTAGAGTAAAACATGAAACAGGATTCCTCCTGCGTACTCAGTCCTCAGATGGAGTAACTTTTTTAGGTCTGTGGTGCTGTTCTGCCATGGTGCTGTGTGTCCTTTGGCCATCCACAGTGTTTTTGCAAGGTTTTCCATGGGTCATAGCAGGATTTTTAAAGACTTGTTTCTTTGACTTTGCCTAATTTCATTCTGTTCCTGTTGTGACAGAGCTCTTTCTGCTAGACAAAAAATTATATAGAGAAATATTCTATTATATTTCTTTCCAGGGTTTCATGTCTCCCTGCCTTAAAATTATTCTCCTTTATGAATACTTCAGAATGTTTCTGACTTGCTGCCCAAAGGCTTCCCAGGGAGTAAGAAAAAGGAAAATTCATGCAATTGTTAGTTACCCTGCTGTCTATGGAACTCTGAAGGCAGCTCTGAAGCTGAACAGAATTGTGCTAAAAGATCAATTACAGCAAAAATGGCAGTAAATCTAGGCAAAGAATCAGAAGGAGCATGCCTTTGCAATCCTTTAAATTCTGCTGAATTTGTTACTAATACTGAAACCAAAGGTTTCTTGTTTTCTCTCTAGACTGATGCAGGACTATTCTTCAGTACTGCTGGACGTTTCATCAGTACCATGTTTGCTTTTTTGGCAAAAAAATAATGAAATGGCTTTCATATCTTGCCTTTTTATACTGCATATTTGAATGAAAAATCCCTGTGCCAAAATTGCTAAGGTTCCAAGGTTAAAGAGATCCTAATTTAAAGAAAATGGCTGACTCATTACACCCCTCACCTCCCAAAATATATCTGTAAAATATTTCTTACTTTTTAGTGTAAGTTATACTGGTAGATTTTTATTTGTTCATTTGGTCTTGGGACTGCTAGAATATTTCAGTGGAGAAAGAATTTTCTTGGTTGATCTTTAAACCTCATCCTGACAACAGCTTTCAGAGTAAGATGTGTAAATGGCACTTTTCAGTCATGCTTTCTCTGCTGAAAAAAGTGTTTCTTTGTGAGCACCAACCAAACTGTAGGGGCGAGGACTTAAACTTGCAGGAGACCTTGATTTGTGAATTTTTCAGTAACTTTGTAAACTTTGCAGATACAGTATCTCTGTGTGGCATAAACAGTAAGCTTGCCGGTGATAATGATGTAACCTGGTATGGAATATCTCAACGGCTTGGATGCGATCAAGTGAGTAGTCCCAAAGCATTTCTGAAGATGGTAACATCTGTGTATATTGTTGGGATGAACCCCAGCAACCTTACAGGTGTGTCTGAAATTTGCTGTTGCAGGAGAGGCTGTGCCCCCTCTGTGGTAACTTGAACATCTTTGTCATCTATATTGACATCTCTGTTTGCTATTTTGATTATGGGAACTCTTTCCTAATTACATAAAGCTTAGCTTACAAGTCTTCAGCATTCATGGTTCTATTATAAAAGGGGAGTTTCAGTTTCTACTGCTTTATATTCCACAACCAATTCTACCTGAGCAAAGGGATGTGTCTGTCAGTGTCATATTGCTGCAGTGAAGTTTCTGTAAGATCCTGAGAGAGGAAGGCTCCTTGGCTTGCTGCTGGTGCATCCAGCATCAGAGCTTCCTTATGGGACACAGAACATGTGAGGTCACCTCTCTGGTACAGTTGGAATATTTGAAGTCTACTGGAAGTTATTTCTTTCCAACAGGTTTAAATGATGACTTAATATCATTAAGGAAACAAGTTTGGATTTCAAAATTACAAAGTAGTAACAAATGTAAAACATATTAAAACCCCCCCTATTGTTTCACATGCTCACAGCACTTCCCAAGACTTACCTTTGTGTTTGTGTCTCCGCCTGATTCTAGGCAAGGATTTTTCAAACTCTCTAAACTGCAAATTGAATGTATAGATGCAGTTCCAGTTCTGTCAGTATGTTACAAGGAAAAAAATTATGTTCTGGGTATCTGAAGTGACTAATAGAAAAAAAAATAGTCTATGGTTCATTTGATGATTTTTATTGCACACCTAAAATAAGTATATTGCATTGTGTGTGTAATAATGCAGATTTTCAGATTTGCACTATGTTACAACATTCCCCATGCCTATTGCTTAGATTTTGACTTCATTTCATTTTTATGGGGTTTTGTGGGGTTTTTTTCCCCTCACCTTGTAATGACTGCTTTTACAAGTACTTTTCTTCTCTTTCTGGATCTTGTCTTTGGTGTTTTACATGTCGTGCCTAGTATTGACAAAGGAGAAGATACAGGTAGCTTGGAGCAGTGAAAGATTTTGCTACGAATAAATGTTTCTAAAATCTATTTCCACTAGTGATTATTAGCACAGACCGTACTACAATGCCATCTACACTGCTGCCTTGGACAGTGCAAGTTTATTTTGATAAACACTTTGTCAAGAGATGCCAAGAACACATGTCACGTACAGGACTAGAAAAAAGGTCAGGTTAGAACAAGTCCCTTACAAAGCTGCAGCAATGTGGTCAGTGCTTCTAGGCACCATTAGAGAAGGTCAGTGGCATCTCAGGCTCTCATTAATGAGCCAGTTGTTTTGACAAACAAAACCAAAACAGCTTTTCAAGACATCAGGACATGAAATTCCAGACATCAGGGCATGAAAATCCAAATGTCCATGGATTAGTTTTGTTCACTGGTGTGAAGTCAGGGTCATCTGGGAGCAAGGACTGATGCCCAGAAATGTTTTACGGATATATGAAATGATATTTTGTTGTCCTGTGAGTTACTTAAAGTGAAAGTTTGCAGGGTTAATGGGTTAAATTTTCATAGATTTCTTTAAATTCAACATTTCTAGTTAATTTCATAAAAACCTGCTCAATTTGGAGTCCTGGAGTATGCTAAATACAAGGCACACTTTCCCCCACAGATTCTGGAGGATCTGCCTGTAAAAAGATGATATGATCACTGGAAATACAGATAATTTTTCTTGGGAGTAATCATGATTCTGAAATCTAACTGTTGCTATCAGTGTCTGTAAGTAGGAACTTTTATTACATTATCTTCTGATGCTGATTACTGCAATCAGTATTTTTCACTTTTAGATATGTCAGTGTTATTGCTAACATCTGTCACATTATTGCCTTGAACAATTCATAATACTGAGTTGCAGGACTTTTATTAATATCTATTACTTCATGTAACTTTACAGTACATTTTTACATATGCAGAACAGTTCATTTAAATGTTAATACACTTTTTGGAGATAAATAGAAATTAACATTCATCCATGAGAAGATAATTCGGACTTCTAGTATTTGTAGATAAATTGTAATAGCCTGTAAAATTCACAAGTATTACATTTGCAGCCTAGAGGAGCAATAAATGCATAACTGCTTTTGGAATGTAAAAGTTGTTGCTTCCAATCAGTGAATAAGAGAGTGTTGTTTTTGTATTTCAGTGACTGGTATTATACATGTTGGGTCTCTAGGCCTATGATGAGATGTGTCTTTGACTTCAGCTGTGCTTCTGCTTTGCCTGTCCTGTTCATCTGTGTGTGCTTGAATCCACAGTGTGGAGCTGTTCCAGACAAAAGCAGCCCTGGAACTCTTAGTGCTCATGTGGAAGCCAGAGTGTCCAGGCTGAATGGGCTTCTCTGGAGTCCTGTTCGTGCAGTCTAAATTAGCTAATTTTCATCTTTCAGTTGACTGTTAGGTCCTAAAACTTCTGAGTTCTTCTTTTAATTCAATGCCTTAAATTTTTCCTTTTCAGTCTTTGAGAACAGTTTTCCAGATATATGTGACAAATAGGTACTCTTTAGTATTTCAGAGTTTCCCTCTGTTTAATTTCAAAACATAAAGGGTGCATTTGCATAATTTAATGCTGTTAATGGACTAATCTGGCACCTGGGGAGTCTGAGGTTCTCTGTTGAGGCTCACAACAGAAAGAGAAGTCCAGACTTGCCTGTTTTCACAGGCAAGTGTGTGTTTAGTCCTGCCCTAGGTCTCCCACTTCTTCAAGGGATTGTGATGGTAAAAGTGTAAGATTCATGTTTATTCTACAAAATGTTTAATCTTCATTCTTTGTCCGGGATTAGCAATAGGGAAATAATACTTATTGTGGTTTCTTTTTATGTTCTTTCATGCAGGTTTCAGTTTGTTGCAGTTTTGATCAGGGCCTAACACATCACAAGAATATCAGCTTGCCACAAGATGTAAACACTTTCTCATTGTAGTTTACCTTGGCTAGATTTGAACCTGTGAGTTTTGGAAATAATAATTTTAATAAGAAATTGAAATTTTGTTTTTTAGAAGCTTATGGAGAAAATGAAGGTGGTGTTCAGAAACTGCAGCTTGACTACCAGGGCAGACTTGGATTTCAAACAGCTGCAGCGTGAAATTCCTTTGCTGTCTGACCAGCCCAAGCAATATGTAATGCAAAATGACAGTGCTGTGGCTGAAAATGCCCTTTTTTTGCTCATGCTCACATTGAGGAACATGTGGGCTTCTATCTCTTCTGCATTATTCTTAGATTGGTTTCTATTACATGCATTTTATTTGGTTTAAAACCCATTATGAATTGGACATTTCACACAAAATTGTGAATAATAAAATAAGAATAACAGAACAACAAAAGTTTTGTTTTTTCATAAGACATTGAATAGTAAGATCGAAAGGTTATGGATTGGATTTTTTTTTTTTTTTTGTTCTCTGGCCTGTAGCCATTCATATTTGCAATCTTTAAAATCATGGCTTTGAACATTCTCTTACTGAGCCAATTAACCTGATACCTTGGGCCAAGTTTAATATTCTGCACATTTTTTACATGCTGAGCAAACCACACTCTGATTTATCAGTCAGTAACAATTGGCTCCAGTTTATACCAGCTGCTGTGTCCTGAATGCCAGCGTGGTATCCATGTGGTCATCTACAGCTGTATTGAATCAATTTTTGAGTTCAGCCATTCTACAATGTTTGCTTCTAGCATATGCATTAAGTCAGAGCATTTGCTTACTTGATGTACCTTTGAATGAAATAACTCTTGATGGAAGTGTGGATTTGGTTTCTGTTTTCCCCCAAAGGAGACCTCTGGTGTGAACCTAAAGTTATTTCCATGTTTTGTAGAAAAGAAGTAAAGGTAGACCCTCTTTTTCTTCCATTGATGGTAAGGAAAAGATTTAGTAAGTTTCTGAGAAGGCTTTGCATTGTTTTTCTTTCTTTTCTGCAGTTTCAGTGTTAGAGCAAAGTGCAGGAATGGCTGTGGAAAATAAAATTTTGAGCATTAGAGCTGGCAGAGGGGGGCGCTTCAGGTTAAGATGACTTGCCTGGTCTTTTCTGGGACTGGCAATTTGCCCCGCTACTTTATTTAGGGAAAAGAAAAGAGACTTCAGTCTTCTGGACTGCCAAATTGCCATCTTTCACCAGTCTTGCACTGCACATCTGACAGTTCTTTAAAAAGGCACCCCCAAAACTCTCTTTGCTGTGATCACTGCAAACTAAACTAAAATAATTCTCTGCTGATCTAGTCATGAAGCTCCTGATGAATAGCTGGAGAGTTCCGTAGCAGCAGTCTTGAAGAAGAGGTTAGAAAATTACTATGTTTCTTCTTTGTATACATATCGTAACATTTTCTAAGACTGCATGATTTGTGTTGCCAGCACTAAACATTGTGATTTGGTTAATTTAGGGATTTATGACTTTGTAATTATCTCTTTCACAACTGGTACTGTAGTAGGAATGGCTTTCTCTAACAACAGGGATGCCTGTAACTTGGCATTTTGCTGGTACTGCCAGAGAAGCAGTTTTGTATTATTTTGTTAACCCAATGAAGTTAAGTTGGTTGCTTTAGATTATGCAGGAAACTAAAAAAGGGATCTGTTGCCAGTCCTAAGTTCTGCTGTTATGAGTCCTCAATGACCACCCACTGTAGTTGGTGACAAATACAAGTATTTTCCATCATAAGATGTGGTTCAGGGGATCAGTCTGATGCCATCTATAACTGATTGCATAACATGCTTCCCAATGGAGACATGAACAAATAGAATTTTTAAAAGAATGTTATTAAAGAGAATTTTATGTCATTTTTTTACATAAAATGTTTATTGAGGTTGCTGAGTGTATGTGACAGATGGTGCTCTTATGTCACATCCTATCTTTCATTTTGTTTTGGAACATGCAAGTCGTTCATGCATGCATAATTGCATTACAACATTGTAGGGTTTTTTTTGTGTACTCACTGAAACATAAAGGAATAATCCAATGTGGGCTCTTTAATGGGGGTTGTGCTAGCAGTGCTATTAAGCTGTTTGCTTTGGTGTTAAGTGCTGGCGAATTAGTATAAGTTAAACTTCAGGTGTAAAGGAAAAAATGAGAAGTTACTATTATTTCATTAATCTGCTGAGAGCATTCAAGTAATGAGATAGATGATGTTCACTACATAATATTTTTTTCTCTGCGTTGTGAAGCAAAAAAAGGGAAAAGTTCCCTTGCAATAAAAGAATGCAGGTATATATGAACTTTCCAGCCTGAGTATCCCTCAGATGCTGGTGCCTTAATATTTTATCATGTACATTAAGTACCTGTATGATTCTAAAATTGCAATGAAAAAAAATTAATTTTTATTATACGTGACATTGCTTTTCTCCCTTCAGTTAACAGGAGAGTGAACTTGATCCTGACTTCATTAGAATGGCGCCAACCTAACTTATATTTATATTGCATCCTGAATAGCTTCTACTGTCTTTTTATGCCTGGACTACTGGATGGAACATACTGGACTTCACTGTTGCTTTTGGGTTACATTGGGCAAATTTGTACATTGTAGTGCTTTTTAACTGAAGGGTATTTTGCAACAAATGTAGAGATTATCTCTGTTTTACAGCTTGGGGAACTAGAAAACTATGTGAGACATACAGAATATGCAAAGCCAACAAGCCAACAATGGTGCTAGAAATTTTGAGTCTTATCATGCTTCTAATAATTTTGACTGGTGATTCTTGCAGGTTCACTGTTGTCTGTAAATACACCTAACTGAAATTAAGGTAGCGAGGGCATCTTCCCTCACACTGCAGCAGTAGAGAAAGGAAACAGTTAAAGCCAAGACTAGTACTTCTACTCCATGCATTGTCAGTCACTGAGTCCTTTGCTACCTTTAATAATATTACAGTTGCATAAATTCATTTATACCTTCTTTTATTGGCTTTTGAACATAGTTTTCAAAAAGATAATGGACTGAATAGCTGTCCATTGCTGTTCTGACTTGTGTAGATGAATGCAATTCATGCTCAGGGCTGTCAGCTGACTATATTGACATGCTGTTGGTTGATTAAATAAGTGCTGAATATGACTGATTCTGGTCTGGTTTTGCAGTAAAGTCAGACATTATCTTTGGCTCTTTAGCACATTGGTCAAGTGGGCTTGTAAACATATTATTTATATTCTTTGTGTGTATCCTGTACTTTGCAAAACTATTTAATCTTAGTCCTAATCTTCCAGCATTATGTTGCTTAATATTTCAGCAACATTTTTACTCTCTTACATCATCCATGTGCTTTGTCTCTGATGGTGCTTAACTGGTGTTTCACAGTAAGATAAATCAGCCATTTCCGTGCTGGAAATGTAAAGGCAACTGTATCAGTAATGCCTGATAAGCTAAATGTGCCAACTTGCCAGGCTTGTTATGCTGCTTCTGCTGTATGAGGACCAAAGGTACATCACAAACCAAGTGGGATTTTTCCTCTTAGTAGTACCAAGGTGTTGCGAGTAAAACTTCATTGTCAGGCCAAAACCTGAATTCCAAAACAGGAGGTGAGAGGTGTGTGTATCAACTTCTCTACTGTGTGTAGCTGCAAATATAAAATGCACTGTGTCATGGATGGTTGCTGGCAAACAAGCAATAGGATGTGATGAGACAAAGTGAGTAGTACGTGACTTACTTCATGCAACAACCTTGCAAAAACTTTATTTTTCATAGTTGCAGTGTACATGACAGAGTTTTAAAGCTAAAGAATGTAATGTTTCCTCTTTAGCTTGCAGCATGGCTTTGTAAGCCGAAGTCTTCCAATTGTTCATATTGCATCTTATAGCAGGATATACTCCAATGCACGTTTATTGTTGGGCAGCACAGATTAATTTTTAATTGATGTCACAAGTAATTGCTGCTTTCTGCCTGGTTTAATAACTGAACATTTCTAGTGCAATTGCTTTTGCCTTGCCATAGACATTCTTTGACAACATACTAATATGAAGAAAAGGCAATAAGCTCTGGTTTGTAACAGCCATAAACTTGTCTATAGCATTTCAGATTTGTGTTTATTAGGACTTAAAGTTTATTAACACAGTGGCTGTAAATTAACATAATACTTGTTAGGAATTAAAGAAGATCAGCTAATGAAAATTTATGGTGAGGTGTCAACCATGTTAAAATTCAATTACGGTCTAATCCTTGAGATTTTTAGCATTGTGTGCTACCGTATCTTCATCTGACAAATCTTCTGATTTGATTGAATAAATCTTGAATAATGTCCAAGCTCTTTTTAACCATTTAGAACACTTTATTTTCTGCTTTCTGTTATTTTTTCTTACCAAAATACTGACACAAGGAAGACATTTTTTTTCCTTCTGAGTATTTTGATGATTCAGTATCTGCAAGATCATCATTAATCCCTTGAAACACTTAATGCAAAAGTATTATGCCATCCAGTTTTTGGTCATTCATATTTCTATTTGGTGGACTTGGTACCATATGATGATTTTCTGATTGGCTTTCTGAAACCAGTGGTCTGAGACCTAGCAACTGGGTGTTCATATTGCAAAATTTGTGTCTATTTGTTGTTATTATCAGCTAGATTTTAAGGCTTATTGAAAGGGCCAGAAAGAGGCTCTGGAGCCTTTAACTCCTGGCTGTTGATGAAGGGTTTCTTTTTCTTTGGTTAAAGTACATCAGTTTTAGGGTACCAGTCTGTACCTTAACAGCATCTAAGTGTGTGCATGCAGAGAGTGTTCATGGGGTTGTGAGTAATTTCACCTGCTTGGTGGGAAGTAATGCAGTCCTGCAACTTTGAGAATGAATAAGTGTAGCAGGCAAGTTTTTGTTTCTAATTTCTAATTATTTGTGGCCACAGTGACATGAACTTCCACTTTCTGGAACAAACATGCACTTTGACTACCTGCACAGCATAATTATAACAATTCTTGGACACAGGCCATTGCTGCAAACCTAATATGTAGTAAGAAATCAGCCAGCAGTGTGTAGAAAACAGCAGTTTAGCAACAGCCTGTAATGAAGGACTGTAATAGCAAAGTTGCACGATGAAAGAGGGTGGTGGTGGTGGGTTTTGTTTGGATTTTTTTCCTACCTTTGCTGAGGTCCATAGAGCTTCCTTGTGCTTCCACCTTCCTTAGATGTGTGTCTCTAGATGTGAAGTCTTTTGGCCTCCTATGCATCTGCATTAACAGGGAACAGCAGACACTGTGAGGTCAGAGCAGTAGCAAGGGACCTGACTCTCACACATAGTAGTTAGATTTCTAACCTAATTTTCAAGTCACTTCTCTTTTTAAAGAATACTTGATCTTTGGATAGTCTATCCATTTCTAATGGCAGTAATACATACAGAGTTTTGTCATATCACTCTGTCATAAGAATAATATAGTGATTTCTTATGTGTGTATGAAGCCCTCCCATTTCTCCCTTTAGTATTCTTAAGCGTCACAGGCATGGAGGAAATTGCAGGATAACTAAGGAGTAATAAAAGGATAGGTGTGCTGGATGTGATTTCTTAGCCTGGGTGATAATATGTTATTGAACTATAGCTACAGTCATGGTCTGTTCAGAAGCTTAATTAGATCTGTTACCCACAGACATCAGAGTAAGTCAGCGTGGCATTGTTACTTCCCCATAGAGTTTGAAAATTTATGAGACTAAAACCTGTGGCAGTGAGGTAAAGGTTCCTTTGCTGCTGTTATGTCAGGAAACCACATGGGGAGGGAAAAGAAGGGGTAAGAGGAGAGAAAGTCCCTGGAGAGTCTGAGTCATGTAGCAGCTGTCTTTGTATGAAGGAGGAAATGTGTGAAATCCAGGCTCAGAGAGTGGAAGAAGGCACCTGTACTTATTTTCTAAAGTATTCTTTTCTTCAGCTCCTGGTGTTTCTGTTGGAAAAATAGTATAGTCCCTTGGTAAATGAATTGGATCAGTATGCACAAGTGTTCTTTTCCATAACAGTCTAACACATCTGTTTTCATTCTGTTTTCAGCTCTATCTCATTGGAGGATCTTTTGGACTCCGTGAATTTGCTCAGATAAGATACGATGTTCACAAGCTACATGGCAAGGTAGTTTAAATTATTTTCTTTGCTTTTCATTTCCTTATGCCTACATGCGGCTTTCTAAAGAATTGATAGGACAAGCAAACTTGGTGTAGAGGATTTGTCTTTCACTGCTTGGCCCTGAGCTCCAGCTGAGTCTTATAGGCAGCAAGCAAAGTAGGTGACGATAAAGGGGCCAACATGATGAATCCTTTGCTATGTGTGAAAAACATCAACATAAATAATAGAAACATTTTGTTCCTTTGGTTGATTGTAAATTGCAATTCTGAATCCTGAGAAGGAAGTGCAGCATGTCTAGAAGGAGGTTATTACAAGGGTACTGTATCCAACTTAGACTAAGAAAACGGATGTTTTAAAAGGTTTGGGTTTCAAACAATTCTTGGCAGAGAGCATATAATGTTAGATATTTTCTGGGGCTTGGCTGTGCATTGACCGAGACAAGCAGGTATCTTTGACATTGTGCTGCATCCCATTCTTTAAGCCTTGTGAAGGAAACAGGAGCTAGTTTCTACCCATTGTGTCAGAATATCCTGTATATAAGAAGCCTTTTTTTAAATGAAAACTTTATTTCTGAGAGAAATAGCGTGTTTAGTAGTGCTACTTACCCCTCCAAGTGTAACACTAGTTCCAAATTGCATATGAAATGATGTGAAAGGAGTGTGTCAGTTTACAGAAAGTAGTATTGGCTTGCTTTCTCTGGTTTGGTAATACACAGGTCTGCTATTGCAATGCAGAGAGACTTTCTGGTCTCAGAGCTGCTGACTTGAAGGTTGTGCAAAGCTGTTTTAAAGACTCTATGCAACTTAACAGAAAAAAAAGTTGTGCAGGGCTCTGGATACTGTTGCTTTCTACTGCGGTGAAATCTTTGAGATCCTGAGCTGTTGAGAGTTTGGAGGAAAAACCCCTTTGTTTCACCTTAGGCATTTGTAGATCATGTAGATTACTTGAATCATTCCTGGTTGTTCTCTGTGTTGCATACCTGGCTATGGCCTTCCATGCACTGTGTGGCCCACTCCTGCTCAGAACTCTATGGGACAGAACCTGTAGACCAGGGAGAGTAATCTTGCAAATCTTTTCTCTAGTGCTGTCTCCTGGGTAGCTTTTTCTCTATCATTTCTAGCCTTTTAGGACCAGTTGGAGCCTTTTAAGTTTTTCTCCAACCAATGGGGATCACAATGGGGCAAAAATTTGCCTGTTGTGTTTCTGTTAGTTTTTGGGTCAGATTCATGCTCAGTGTATTGCACTGTGACAGCAACCATGGGAAAGCCACTGTTAATAGTTGTGCTAATTCTGGTCTATGTGACTCTTTGTCCCAGCATTTATAATCAAGGGAAGCATTACTGAATTAGTCAGTAATACATGAAAGCTCTGAGTGGAAGCTACTTCAACCTGGAGTTCTTAAACTCTGAAAAGCTAAAAGAGGACTTCTGGTTTATGCTCTAACCAGTATTATTTAATTCTTAAGCATCTCTTTTGTGTTTTCTTTTTATTTTCCTTGCAGTTTTATTCAAAAGTAGATGACATTGAAGCAAGAAACAGTGCAGTATGGGCTCAGAACTAGCAACACCGACTTTGGGCTTGTTTGTAAATGGACAAATCAAAGCAATGTGTTTCATTCATTTCTGTTTCTATGTCTATAAAAACAGAGTTGAAAGCCATTCTAATTCACTAAATAAGACAGCAAAGGAGACTTGAATGTATTATTTTAAAGGATAAAAAATCTAGTTTAAAATGTACATGGAACTCAGGAAAAGAACATTAATATGAGTAATTTAAAAGTGCTGTTAAAATCCTGATGCTTTTCTCTTATAACACAGTTGGAGTATTGTAAATCCTTATCAGAACAGGGACAGATGGACTGGTGCTCTTATTGGGGGGTTGGACAGTTACATGCAAAGTGCAATAAGCAATAAAATAAATAAGATTTTTTTTTTGTTACAGCTTCTCCGTCAGAATAATAAAAATATTTAATTAAATAACAGTTTCAATACAAGGAGCTCAGAAGACTTTCACAGAATTTAAATGAATTAAGCTTCATAGTCTTACTGTCATAAAAAGTAGGATTATTATTTACATTTTACTGCTAAAAAATGGAGGTTGCACAAATCCAAAAGCAGGTTAGGATTTGTAACACCCAAATGCCTGTCTTTTTTGATTATATTTCAAGAATGTGCAAACTCCAGTATGTCACCTTTTGTAAGCGTGATTCCTGAATGTTTTCTTGCTAATTCAACTGCTAAGACGACAAGACTTAAACAATCCTTTTGTGGTAAATCTCTAATACATTTCAAATGCCAAATGAGGATCCTTTGCCTTCAAAAGTACCTGTTCTTTTCCTTTTTCACTCTTAACTTCACACTATGCTTAGAGGGAAACCACGTTAGTAAGCAACTTCTCACTCGCCAGTGATATTCAAAGGCAGCACTGCAGTAGAGCTGCTGCTCTGTAGTCTGTGTTTCAGTGACTGAGGGGCTAGCTTCCACTTTGGATTTTTGTGGCTTAATGAAAAAAGCTGCATTAGTAATAAAGACTATGTTATTGATGTCAAACTGACTTTTGAATAACAATCCCAGATAAAAGTATTAAAATTCAAGAGAAAATGGTGGTTTGGACCTTTGAGGGAGTATGGTTTGGTTGAGGTGCATTGGGCTGGGGTAGCATTAGGGTTGGGAGGGAGACAGAGCCTAGAGCTGTAGGTGGAGTGGGGCTGAGAAAGGAATTGTGTCCTCTTGTTCGTTTGGGTTGTGTGTTGGGATCTTGGACTACAGCTCAGCCAGTGCATAGGACAGAGAGACAAGAGGGTAGAGCTGCAGCTGAAGAGGGGCTGTTAGTATATAAAGAGCAGAGAGTTCATCCATTTAGTTCATCTTTGAATATCAGGGTCTCAGATATGGCCATCTCTCGAAAAGCAAAAAACCAATTTGGCTGCACTTTCATCTTCTCAGGATACCTAGATCAGTCATATTCCCTCAGCACAATGAATATCCTGCATTTAAAGGAGGCTTGCTGAGGCTCTTACTGATGTAATGTTTATTTATGCTACTCAGAATTCTCCTGAAACTAATTGAGGATTTCTCCATTATCCGTTGTTGCCAAAATGTCCATTAATGGAGAAATCATTAGGTTAGGTAATTGTTCACTTTCTGGGAAGAATTTATGCAAATCAAAATTTGTTACAGAAAATCAGGTATGCTTATGGGAAAACCATGTGGAATTAACAAGAGAAGAAATTAGTAGGTATGTACGGGCATTGTTCCAGATGCCTTTATTCATAAATGGAAGACAAGGCTTTTTCTTTGTCTTTCTTCTTGTGTATGTAATTGGAGATATTTTATTTAATTTTTTTTTTTTACTGAAAATGTAATTTCTATTAAATATACAGAAAATGTTTTTTCTACTGTATAACAATCAATTATTTTTATATACTGTGCACCCATTGTTGCCATTCCAGGTGTTTCTGATTCAGATTTAGTTTTGGATATAAGAATCTTGGAACATGGAGTGTGATCTGTCCTGCTAGCTAATAGCTACTGAAGAGAATTGAAGGGAAGTAATATATTAACTACCTGGGAAAGTTTATGCTTTCCTCCCATCAGCAAACCTTTTAGAGGAAGAGAGTTTTTAAGCTCCAAACTGACTCTTTTGAAGAAGTATCATTGCAAGGCAGGTTCTCAGACTTTTGGGTGGGATAGGACTGAATGAGTTCTTCCAGGGTAATGTGCAGCAGAAGCACTTCTAAGAAGGTTGGAAGCTATATGTCAATTTGTTAGGAAACAAAACACTGATTAACCTTTGAAGTCTGCACATATTTCCTGCTGTGGGTTATGTACAACAGTATTACTTGCTTATCTCTTTACAAGCTATGAAGATCCTGTTCACTTTTTCTTTGTCCTGTGCAAAGTGCAAAATTCTACTCCAAAAGTAGAATTCTGAGAAATACTAATGTTTTCTGTCTTAATGAGGTAGAAAGTATAGGCAGTAAAAAGTCAAAATTATAAAATTTCAATTTCTCCTCTATGAGTTTTCCCCTCAAATCTGTTGTTGTGCATTTAAATATGTATGACTGTTGCATTGCATTCCAGGAGGTAAAATCCAGATGAAAATGAAGTTCCTGACATGTTCTTTCACCATTCACTATGAGCAATAAGCCTGCAAACCCAGAAAGGGTATTAAAGGAATGGTGGTGGTGGTGGGAAGCATACTCGGTAAGCGCTCTAGGAGTGTAAAGCCTGCTTTATGCAGACTGAGGATTGCCTTTAAAATTTCTTAGCTAGTGTTTCTAACCAATTGACTGGCATGTAGCTACCCATGAGGTGTTGCTTATTGACACCTGTAGAGTGTTAGTGTTGTCATTGTGAATCTTCATTTATTGCATATTTGCTTTGTCTTAAGGTACTAGTTCAAGAAATAATGTAACTTTCATTTTGCAATCCCAGACTTGAATTGAGAAAAAGAGCACATGTGTGTAGAAGATTATTCTGTCCTTTGAAAAATGAAAGAGAAAAGAAAGTTAACATGATCACTTACGGCACTCTGACTTTTCTGGTTTAGACCAATTCTCATACTGGGGCTTGACAGTGGTGTAAGCACGCTGACTGTCTGGTTGGTTATACTCAGTATTACAGGTTTAGAATATTGCTAGTTGGTCCCTAGTGCTGTTCTTTAACATTGTGTCTTTTATCTCATGTATGGGTGTCAGGAGACCCACAGCAGCCTGTGATTTAAATAACACCCACTGATCTCACTGGAATTTTATATCCATCTTTTTCAGATTCTCTTTAAGCTACCTCCTGCACCACAGAGCTCCTCTCTGTCTATCTCACTTTCTTAGTCTGTAGAATATAGGTAATTAATGCTGCTCTACTTTACATAGGAAATAGAAAAGTTAATTAATTCAAATAAAAGGAATTATTTAAATTCATATGAGTATTAAAAAATTTCCTCGGGTGAGATCCATTACTTCAAGTGCTTTGGGTCAGGATGAAATAGCTGGGAAGAAGTAGGAG